ACCCTAAACCTAAATCTAACCTAGCCCTAACCCTTAATTACCTCTGTTAAAAGGTGTTGATTGCCCAAATACAGGGATCAAGGAGCCAGGGTACTCGGACCCATTAAAAGCAGTGAGCTGTGTCGATTATAAGAAGGCAAATAGTCTCACTTCAGTTTCATTCACTTAGCTGCCATCCTTTATTTTTCCCGCAACGTGAAATGTACCTATGAATGTACTCAGCATTGGCGAGGTCTGTTAAGATTGTAAAATAAAACTACAATTTCAACTTCAATGGTTACAGTTGAACTACTCATTTAAGGATACAATGTGCTGAATTATTATATAATATATTATTATATCATATAACACTGCACAGGGAATTTCCTTGTAACTGAACCTCAGCAGGAGAAAATGTAGGAAACAGATAAAACAGCATAGTTTTAGTTGTAAAAACATAACTAGTTTGTCCATTTCATACATTCACAAACCTCCCCTGAAGACAAGAAAAGAAGGAGTACTTACACATCATCACTTCACCCTTTGCCCCCACCGGGGAGTAATCTTGTGAGAGGAAAAGCACCTGTCAATTAGGAAGAGGAACATGTCACCGGCTTGCTGTCAGATGTGACCTTGTGTGGGGTGATGCATGTCAGGGTGTAATCAGAAGAGGATGTTTGAAAGTTAATCCTCATTTTATATTCCCTCTGCATTGAGTAGGTGGAGCAGCTATTTGTGTTTAAGAGGCTGGTATTAATATTAGATAGCAGGAGTAACAGTATAAGCCGTGCGTGGGACTCACTCAGCTACTGTATCTGTATACTCTATCGTCTGACTGCCAGACAGTTTTAAAGGGCCCATGTCATGGCCATTTCCACTGATCATAATTCCATTGTTGAGGTCTACTAGAATAGATTTATATTGTGCATTTTTCCAAACTCACATTGGTTTCTCATACAGCATCTCTGTAAACTACGTGTATTCACTGAATTTCACTCTCTGCCTTTAACGGCTCGTTGTAGCTCCAATAGCTCCAGCCCCCACCCTCCCTGTGAGCACAGTGTGCTCTAACGGCTCCGCGGACGTAACGTAACGGCTCCACGGATTGGTCCGAAATGGAAGAATCAAATGGACAATGACGTATCTCCAACGAGGCGTTTTGGGGAGGTATTTTCTGTGTTAGAGTTTTACTCGCTACAGGGTGTACTTTGAGGGTTTGTGACACCGTTTACATGCATACAAACCTTCATAACACACAAGGGGACGGGTAATAACCGGAAAAGCATGACATGGGCCCTTTAAGTACAGTCAGCAGGCAGCGAATGGTTTCATCTGATGGCTGGAACTGTGAGGTTTACCACCAATAGAACGAGGCCTGTCTTGTTTATGGATTAGCTGCTGTCAGGAAACTCTCGATTGGTCATAAACAACAGTATTTACCAAGTAACTGTGTTGTATTTCACTGACTGTCAATATTCTCCTGGGCAGGCTGTTGACCAAGTGTTAAGGATTGCTTAAAACAGTCTTTTTGTCTGCTGTAATGTAATTTGTAAACACAACTCATAAAACATTACAGTAGAAAAACCAAGGGTCACTTCCTAGGCTAAGTAGCTCAAGCATGGACTGATGAGGTTGCATAGTTTGTGAGGTTACATATTTAACATTTAAGAAAAGTCCTGTTCATGACAATTATATTGTGTGTTGCACATTTGCCACACAACAGGATGGTTAGAGCTTATCCTCAAAGTGTTAGATCTTGTAATTTTTAAAGTTACAGTCTTAAATATCTCCATTTTCGTTCTCTTTGGTAGTGCCTATTTCCAAAAGCACAATAGGGCACCTTTCAGATACGTACCTAAATTATTTATTTCAACCCAAAACGTGACCTTTTCTAAACCTAACTTATCAGATCAAGGTTTAATTAAAACTGGGACTGTAATCTGGGAGAAAATATGTTTCCCTCAAAACACAATTGAGCAAACAGTTTCATTACCAAGAGAAAAAGCTGTGTTGTCAGCGGTGTATGCAGGTGAACAGTGATGGATCTCATTTTAATTCATTCCTCAGTGCTCAAAGGTCAACTACTCCTTCACCCTCACTTTGGTTTATCCTCTGCTCTCAAACCAGGCTCTCAATCTTTTAAGGTTTAAGTGGAGGGAGAGCTTCAGGAGGTTCTGGGTCACACTGTCCTCCTGCCTTCTCACTGTATGGAGATTAAATTCTGATTAATTTCTCTCAGCGACTGTAGCAGGTAAGAAATCAGCTGAGAACGGTGAGGAAAAGTCCCTCCATAGGCTGAGAGAACTGGCAAATATTTGCATAATTACACTTTCTTTTGCTCAGACAGTATTTGTCCAGTCTCTGCAGTTTTTATAGTTTACCTCATGCATGATGAAAGACAAAGAGCCATGAAGCTGCAGCTGCGGAGCAATCTGTGCCACTCTCCTTCCCCTTCAGTGCAGAGATGCAGCTTTTCTCGCTCCACACCTTTGAAAGCGTACACGATGTTTTAGTGCTTTCCCACCTGCGGGGTGTTGACCTTGTCAGTGGTATTTCAGGCTCGGAGGACTTCTTTCACTTGGCTGCCGGCACCCGCAGGTGGATTGGAGGGAGTGGTTGTCATGGAAACAGGCCACTGGGATGGGACACGGTTGCAGGCTCCGGCACACGCTTTGAAAAGCTTTCATTGATAGCTGTCCCAATGAGCTGATTTCCGGTCTGTTACTAGGCTACCCACCGAGGCGGCACAAAGGCTCGTCCCTTGTGCAGATAAAAGGGACGGCAGCGGATTTTTCAAAGTGGCAGTTTTAATGTGCAGGTTTAACAAATGCCAGACATCAGTGGCTTTGCCCTCCTCTGTCCATCATTGTCAGCACAGGATACAAGTCTCCCTAAGGGCTCCATGACATTCACTGACATTTTTCCTCAGTGTCTACGGACATCTCTATACACGAACAGAAGCAGTAGTATGAGACAGAATATAATTCAATTTCCTCATCAGTATTTCTTGAGGCAGAATGCACACAAAGCCAAATCTGTGAAGCATAATATGTGTCAGTAACACTTATTTGACCAACTATTAAGAATTTCTAAACAATTCACTCAAAGGAATGGAACCCAAGGTTTTATAAAACGTCAAAGAATCACACAAAGAAAAAAGGACATTTTTATTTGTTGAATGTGATCTATCAAAGAGTATTTCCAAACACTTTCACATCATATGTGTTATCTCTATTGTTGGGAATTGAGAAAAAGACAATATTTGTAAGGGATTGTGTATGTTATTTTTTGTTCCTGTATTGCTTTTTCAACCCCAATCATGTCCCGGGTAAGGCCCAGACACACCAGGCCGAAATCGGCCGTTTTCGTTAGTCGGACGACGAAGCGTGCCCTGTCGCCCAAACTCAATTTGGTGCCTTATTTGGCCTTTCACGGCCGACGCATGGCCGATTCAACATGTTGAATCGGCCGTGCGTCGGACACAGGCAGTCGGACCAAGAAATCACTCTGATTGGCTGTTCAGCTAGCGAATCAGTGCATGAGAAGCGAAACGGTTGCTTGAGAATGTCTTCCACAAGCAACACTCCAATGGCTGATAGTTCCAGTACCGCACAAAATATGTTTTCGATGGACGAGAGTGAAAATGGAACGCACACGCTATTTGTTGTTTGTTTAGATCACGCAGTCTGTTCTTCTTCTCTGTCTTCCGGTTGTTGCCTCTTTTGAATGACGAATACACACTACCGCCGCCTGCTGGTAAGGAGAGTTATTGCCACTCACGCATGCGCAGTTCGTACGTGCTCGGCTGAAGTCTTTGCGGTGTGTTCCGGTGCGACACATGGCCAAGACGCAGGAGAACACGTCGACGCAACAGTCGGCGTCGGCGTCAGCGAGTTCTCTGGTGACTGCTTGGTGTGTCAGGGCCTTAAGGGTTAATCAGTAGTTGGAATCAGTTATTATGAAAGTGAAGAAGTGTTTAAGAAAATAATTGACAAAAATACATGTGATAACAAGCCTGTTGCTTTATATGTGTGATATTATTTTGCTAGTCATTTATTAAACACCAGTTGTGGATACTTCACAAGAAAAGGAAGGAACGAGAACGATCATGTTGTCACAGGAGACTAATCGAAGATTGTGTGATTGCACCACAAAGCCCAGACCTGTCAATCAACATCTGGGCACTGGAGATCCACTCTTCTAGACAGAGAGCCACAGCGACTGAGTTTTGCTTTGCAACATATAACTGTCTTACTAGATATTGCAGAGAATGCAAATGGGTGTATTATATGAGTTTACTGAAAGAGAGCCAGCCTATAATGTTATATCAAATGGAAATCCAACATCACACAATGATGAATAATTTGCATCATCAGACATGCTTTAAAGTTCGTTCCCCACACAATGCAAAATGCTTAGCACATGAATCATTTGGCTGCAGTCTGTACTTGCTGTAACTGTCCATTATCCATAATCACCACCTCCCTCAATCTCAGCTGAATTATGCTCCTTATGTGGCTTCCTTTAAAGCTTTGAAGATACGAAGGTATGTCTGCTACAATATAACAGACAGTGAACAAATCATGCAGGCACTGAATCCACTGTCTTGGTTTTGAGCGACACATTTCCTTGTTTTTTAAGTAACTGTATGTACTCCGAGGCATATTGTGCAGTAATTATATTGCACCAGGACTAGAATTTAAATTATTCGCTGATAATTGCTTTGCCGAGGCAAACACACTGCACACACAAAGATGCACACTTGTATCTTTCTTTCTCTCTCAACTCGGAGATTGTAACCAAAGACCTACAGCTATGCTTGTCATTCTGTATTTAATAATCCCAATGTTACTATGAGATAATGATTTTTCTTTACAGCTCCGGTTTAGGCTTCAAGCTCTTGTTTCAACCTTTAAATGTTTGTTTCTGCAGGGCATGTTTATTAAATACACACTGAACATCATTTTAAACTCTATGTTATTTAAGAATGACACTTGGTGTTGAAATCAAGGTTTTAAAAATATGAGGAAAAAAGATTTTATTGAATTTGCCCCCCAATAAACAACATGTTTGTGTCTGTAAACCACAACAAAACCAGTGATTGTAGACATATTCTAGCAAAATAAGAAAAGAAATATTTAAGAAGTTTAAAAAGCCTTACATCTATTTACCTAGTTCATAACATTCATATTTCTATTGCTGGTTTACAGTAGCTGCTCTGCAAACTTAAAGTCTAAATTAAACATACTTATTATGTTATTGTAATCATTGAATGTACAAAAAGTAAAACAAGTCATAGCTGATACAACATTACAGAGGAATTGCTAACATTATTCAATAGACAGTATATCAAGTCTAAACGTACTTTGTCAGCTTATATTTGAGTTGATAGACAAATTAGTATATATATATATATATTTCAGTGCACAACAGTCAACAGTGAAACTGTTTTACAAGAGAAAGAAAGATTGGCAGTCTAACATATCGCCATAGAAACATGTCAAAAACAGGTAGGATTTCAGCTCTTCATTTGCTTGCGTATGCTGAATCCGTGACAGTGCTCATGCTGTGTTTGTTAAAACAAGTACTAAAAATAAAGCACAGTGACTACTAAGTTCAGGAAGCTAAATAACGCTGCCATATTGTGTCAAAATGGGCAAGAGTTAAAAAGGCAATATGCTAAACTAAAAATCCCAGTTCGTCCTTCGCTTTCAAAAAGCAAGTCTGAGAGAACCAAAAAAACAAACAGGAAACATGAAAGAAAAAATGATTGACTTGAGTTAAATTACACAAAGAAGCAAACATGTATATTTGTGCTCCTGAAATGTCTCTTTTTCTCCCACTGGATAGAAGATCTCACCACATGTAATAGCTGCGCGTGGTGTCCACCTGAATGGTTTTGGTCTCAGATGAGCCCTCTTTCTCCTTCTCACTGTCTGTCTCCCACAAGTTGATAAGAGGAGGGTACAACTCGTTTAGCGGTATTGACGAGGTTTTCTGCATGTACTTTTTCAGAGAATGGTGATAGTTTTTCCTCTTCCACCGCTTGGCAATGTAAATTCCCAGTGAGGCCAGACTGATGATTGCAAACATTGTTCCCATAACTGCAGCAAGAGCTGTGTTGGTCCCTTGTTCGGATATTTCCACAGCGAAGGGGGCTTGCCTTGTCGTAACATTCACACAGGATCTCTGTGTTTGTTGGCGGATGTTGGACACGCTGAGGCACACTTCGTACTCAGTTGCTGGTTGTAAATGCGTAAGGTTGTACTCGTGGACATCAACAGGAACCCTGGCAGTGTAAGTAATATGTGGATTGTCTATTTTCATGGTGGCAGAAGACCACTTGAGATTAGAAGTCATTACATTGGAGTTTATTTTCCAGGACACCAGGATAGAGTGAGCCTCTGTTTGTTTGACGTAGATACTCATGAGCTGAGTGCTGTCTAACAGAGTGCCGTTCACCCGTATAGCTGTCACTCTTGTGTCAGCTCCCTGGGAATTTTGCGCCACACAGGTGTATCTGCCAGATTCTTCAACTTGGATACGAGAAATTCTTAATGTCCCTTCCTTGCTGAGGCTATACTTGTCAGATAAGGTGTCCATCATTACCTTGATCCCCATTGGTGTCACCCAATAGATTTCAGGCTCTGGCTGGGACATCGCTCTGCAGTCCAAGTCCAACGTCATGCCAATATCAAGGTTCAGGTGGCTTGGGAATGTATCATGTGAAATCAAGGGCAGGCACTGGTTTGCTAAATTATGTTGGAGTACCTCCCGCACAGGCAATCCCCTTACTTCTGTTGGAAGGGCACAAAACATGGATAGTGGTTCCATGAAACGGACGGTGGTTTTGTTGGAGCTCATCCACTGAATGACGCAGTCACACCGCAGAGGATTGGTGTGGATGCTAATCTCACGCAAGTTAGGGAGAGAATCCACTGTGGACTGATAGAGGGCATTCAGGGCGTTGTTATTCAGCATTAGACTCTCCAAGGCTGGGACATCACGAAAGGCCTGACGGTTGATGTAAGATAACTTGGGGTTGTTTGTAGCCTCAAGCTTTGAGAGCTCAGGAAGATTGTCCAGAGAATACCGGTCAATAGAAACCAGCTCTCCCATGTTGTTGATACCCAGTTCCTTCAATCTCAGCATGTTCTTGAAGTCTCCTTCCTGAATCTTATGCACTGGGTTTTTGTTCAAATCCAAGAACTTGAGGTTAGGTAGTTTCTGAAGTGCTCTCTGAGGAACTTGGACCAGCTTATTGTCATAGAAAGAGAGACTCTCAAGATTGTCAAGTCCCACAAAGGCATTACCAGGGACGTCGGTCAAATCCATCCCAGCCAAAACCAGGCTTCTAAGGTTGCCCAGTGGCTTGAAATTGAAGTCCATTATTCCAACCACTGGGTTCTCCCCAATCATTAGTATTTCTAAGTTGGGCGTGGATTCAAACCACTGGCCGTTAATGGCCGTGAGCTTGTTGGAGTTGAGGTGCAGCCTGAGCAAGTTGTGCAGCCCAAATAAGGCATTGGCAGAAATGGTGTTGATCTGATTGTGGTTAATGTAGAGCTCCTGCAGGTTGCTAAGGTCCTGCAGAGAGTAGTCTGGCATTTCTGTGATCTGGTTCTCTTCCAGATGAAGCGTGGTGAGCTGGGACATATTGTTAAGGCCAACATCCCGAATGTTACTGAAGTTGTTCTGGGACAAGTCCAGCTCGGTCAGGTTGTAGAGCTGCTCCAGTTCATCATTGGTCCTACCAATGTAGTTGCTTTGTAGGAGGATAACCTGAGTGTCACTGGAGAGGTTTGCCGGTATACGTGTTAGGCGAAGGTCATTGCAGTCCACAGTGATGGCCTCTCTGTAGGTGGACTGGGGGGTAAACCAGGGCCGGATCTCACATACACACAGCTGAGGGCACTCATTGCTCTGGACGAAGGATAGTCCTAACGAAACCAATATCAGGCCAGAAAAAGCCTGGCCTAGAAGTGGGCAGTCTAACCTCCGTCTAGCCATGCTGGGGTAGCAAAGGAGGAGGGGCTGATGATTTTAGGAGAAAGTTTGTTGTAGTCATCAACCAGACTTTCTGCTTATTAGGTCTTTCAGTGCAGTGAGATGGAGTTGAATCAGGAGTCGAATTACATCAAGATCTTGAAGCCCCAGAGTTATCTGGAAAACAAAATCAAAGAGTATGTCAATGTACAGAAAACAGTATCTACAGCATGTTCACAATTAAGGATACACAATAATGTTTTAAGCAATGCTATCAGCATCGGATATTTCTGTCAATATCAGTCTGTTGATAACTGATTTTCTATTGAATCAGCCAAAGGTCAACATCATCATTTTTGAGTAAAATATCTCAGAAACAATTGCAGTGATAACCATGAAATTTGTCATACAACAAAGTAAAAGTGTTAACTCTACTTTATAAACAAATACCTGCATCAGCGTGTAACCATTGTCATTAAAGCATGTTAGCATGATGATGTTTGCATTTAATTCAGGACGCTACTTGGTCAATGTACAGCCTCAAAGAGCAGCTAGCATGACCTCTAGACTTTTTGAATGTAAAAATAACTGGAATACAAAATAATTGTTCATGTTTTTCTTTAAAGAAAACAATTCCTTAACGGACTGAACACAACACCTGCTTCTCAACAGTCATTGGGAGAATGTGAGTTATGTGCTGTATTTACAGTTTTGAGAAAATGCAAGTTCAGCTCATTACAATGCCTGCTCTGAACTGCTTGGAAACACATCAAGTTCCATTGAGGGCTTTTATCTACCCAGGCCCATAAGGACTCGATCATTAGCATCTCTGAACATTATTCAACACCATGAGAAATCAGTCTGTGCCAAGCTCAAAAGAAAGCAAAAAAAGAATGTGCGTCTACATTTACATTTTTAATGCAACTTCTTCAGCATTCTGAATTTAGGGCAAACATGAAAACAAAAAAGTTTTCAGACGGCCTAGAATTCATTCTAGTATTTGGTACAGATGGAAAATTGTCAAAACTTTGGGGAAACTCTGAAACTTACAAAGAGGGATTTCATGAGAGGGTCTGATCTCAGCAATTGGAAAATGCAAGCTATCGAGTGGTAACATGGGCATCTGTGTATCCTTATGACAGTAACACTTACTCCAGAGACTTGGAGTGTATAGCATTCAATGTAGCATACAATACACTGCTTCTTATTAAGACTAGTGCTACATTTTAAAGCTATCATTGTCTATGAATACATGGGCATTATAGAAAAATAACTCTTTGTCAACGGATGACGTCAATGTAGGTCTGGCAGGGTGTCCCACGTCTTGGTCCAGACTGAAATATCTATTGAATGGATTACCATTCAATTAAATGTAGACATCCATGGTGTCTTTTTATGTAACTTCCAATTTATTAAAAAAAGATTGTAACACTTTATATTAAGGTACAAAAATTCACCACCAACTAGTTGTTAATTAACATGCATATTAGCAGTATATTGGCTCTTTATTAGTCATTATAAAACACTTATTAATGCCTTATTCTACATGACCATATTCTACAAGTAATAGGCCATTAGTTGAGAGTTTTTCCTCAATAACCCTCTAATTAGTGCTTATTTATTGCAAGTAAGGAAGTTGTTGTACATGAGTTTTGGTCTTACAGTAATATCCGCTGCTCAATATGGGCCTAATAAGGCAGCAGTACCACAAGAATAGTAATTCTCCCATATTAACACTTAACAAATATGATCTATTCTTATGTAACAAGACATGAAACTTTAAGTGTTAGTTGTTTCTAAATAACTCCAAATGTGGTATTTATATCTAAGAATATGTTTTGGGGTATTGACAGTTCAGCTACCAATAGCAAGGTGATATTGACCTGTATGTTTCATATTTGCACATTTATATTTTTGTAAAATGTGTACTGAAGGTTAGACAGGAAACCGGGTACAGGAAGTAGGAGAAAGTAAATTGAATAGCATGGCAGTAGAGACTGCTACTAATTTTCCCTATGCAACCTGAATAGTAAAAGGTCAAGTCCGTCAGAAAGCAATGACTGTAAGTGTAAGTGTAAGCCTTAGCATTAGTAACATGTATTGTGTTTATGTGATGACATTTGGAGATGTTTAAACACAATGAGAAAATGCGTTAGCATTCGCGCTTGCGTTAGCATACACGCTAGCGTTAGCCATACTAGCCTGTATACGCTTATTGCACAGCTAGCATTAGCTATATTTACCTTGTTTACACTTAGCGGTCCTATGTGTTAATCTGTGTATGTTACACTTGCATGTATGAGATCATTAAGTGCCTTGTAACTTTTTTTATAGTTTCACTCCATTTGAATGTCAGTGGACTGCAAATAAGTCAATAAAGGAGCATGGCTGCTCATTCCCTGGCTCTCAAAAGAGTTTGGCTGTTCACACTGAGACAGTAAAACACAGAGAGAGAACAGTACACCTATTGTGTAAGTACATACAAGCACAGTATGATCACAAATACATACAAATCAGTTTTTATGAAAAAGTACAGGCTGCATATCATGTGTTCTCAGCCTTGGAGAAACTTGACATGTTTTGGTACATGTGTCTGAACCTCTCTTTAGTGGTTAATTAATAAAACAGATATTTCAACTTGTGCCTACTTTGTTCATGTACTGTTGAGGTTAATTTCAGTAGTTGTGTGCTATGATGTATTTACAAAGTGTGAAGAGGAGGCAACTTTAGAATAGGGAACCTGTTCAGGTCAATTAGAGTCAAACTACTAGCTTATTGGTTATGAAAAAGACTTCACTTTAAAATAGGGAACATATTCTTAGATAAAAATACCTAATTTTGAGTTATTTAGACTTAATTAACACTTATAGTTTCATGTCTTGTTACATAAGAATAGATCATATTTGTTAAGTGTTATTATGGGAGAATTACTATTCTTGTGGGACTACTGCCTTATTAGGCCCATATTGAGCAGAGTATATTAAGACCAAAACTCATGTACAACAACTTCCTTACTTGCAATAAATAAGCACTAATTAGAGGGTTGTTGAGGAAAAACTCTCAACTAAGGGCCTATTAATTGTAGAATATGGTCATGTAGAATAAGGCATTAATAAGTGTTTTATAATGACTAATAAAGAGCCAATATACTGCTAATATGCATGTTAATTAACAACTAGTTGATGGTGAATTTGTGCTCCTTAATATAAAGTGTTACCAAAAATATATTTGATATGTTTGTCGACCTCTGTTTGTTTGGGATGTCATTACATTATGTGGTATGAAATGTCAGATGACTGCTGATGAACCTGACTTTGCAGTTACATTTTTCTAATGGACAAAGTTAATCGTCAGCAATATGTAGACTGCTCATTGAATATTGAGTTAATTAATGTGAAGATCTGTGTTATTGAGAACGTTTAATTGATTACTAGTGTTTGGTTTATCACCGTGGGTTGGTTGGATAGTTAACCACGCCTGCCATCAGAGTGCTTATCTGCATATTAGTACATTTATTACATACTGGGATTGGAACATTTAAAAAAGTTGGCATTTGATTGCCATTTGCAATCAGACAATAACATTCCCTGCAGAAGGATTTGTAAAAAAACTTTTGTGATCCTTTCAGGGCAAAATCTTAGTTGGTCCAGAACTTTGGTTTATGATTAAATAAATAAACAACTGCAATCAGCATCATGTACTTTCTGTTTTGTTATTTTTGGTTAATATTGGCATTTAAACATACTATACTAAGAAAATAGTCATAGTAAACATTATACCGCAATATATTATTTTAAAGATTTTAGCATGGACTCTTAGTCTTGTTAATGATGTAAACCATGGCTTACATATTCCTTTCATCCCATTGACATGATATATGTGTATCACTCTCTAAATGACTTTGCTGACGTGCAAATATTATATAGACACACTTTTCCTATGCAACCCTTTTATCCCTCACTATTGTTTATTAATAGGATTAGATTGCTGGCGCTTCTTTGACAAGAATGTGCACTTGGAGTATCCTACATCAACAGACATGTCAATTCTTCATTAGGTCTATTTACTGCACTTAAGGTGACCCCCCCCATCCAGGGCAGAGCCATACGGCAGCGCTATAGCACCACACAGCTTTATGGTCAACACCAGCTTAAAAATAGCACTTAAGAGGCTTTCAAACAAGAGAGTTGACTAATTCATCACATGCAAACTGCCTGGCAACAGCACCATGGAGACAGAACACAGCTCTGTTCCTCCTATACTGGGGACTCCCTATGGGACGGGGCGGGGCACGTCTGACAAAGGGATACAGTATCTTGTCTTTAAACTATAGCACTGTATGTTGTGTCGTGTCTGCGCCAGTCTGGATTAGTATATGCTGAAGTGGAGATTAGCTCGAGGCAGTGTACTAGATTTGAACCCAGAGGAGAGAAACAGGTCACATCAGTTTAATTACAAGCCAATAAAAGCAATATTTCTGTGAGATCTATGACAGTTATGGCAATGAGAAACAGTGTTAATTGATTGGTAATCACACTTTAAAACTAATGCCTCAGGGGCTTTTTGTAATTCTGCCAGTGACTAAATATTCTGTCCAAAATGATTTCAGTTTTTAACAGTATTGAAAACAATGTGTGAAGAAAAGAAAACTGATATGTTATAGATGTTTGTTTGTACTGTCCATGCACCACAGTTATCAATAAAGAAAACCTTCATAGAAAGTTTCTGACATGCTATTTTCTACCAGCATGCATCATTTACATTTAAAGTAACCTTGTATATTTTTTCAGGTTAGACTACTAGAATAACAACATTTTTAGATTTCTTTTTTTGCCTTTTTTTGCTAACTAAACTAAAAAGGCTGATTCAGGAAGTAAATAATCAAAAGAAAACGCTTAATATCAAAACTAGAATACAGCTGGTCTTATATATATATTTTTAAATAAAAACACTACTCACAAATGGCTTTAAAAAATGTAATACATCAAGATGATAAGCCAGGTATCTTAAAAAACATAATTTTCAGCATTAATATAATTCTATTCTATTTACCACAAATGGGGTTAATCTTAGATTCCCCTCATTTGGTAAGTGCTTTGTCTGTGATCCCCTTTATGAAATGTAAGATTAAGAATTGTGTGATCCTATTTAAAACTGAATGCAAAAAATATGACACA